CAGGACTTGTATAACTTGCCGTACTGATAAAGTTTCTTTGAACTGATGTAAAAAGGGAAAAAAATCATTACATTAACCAGAAGCAGTCCTGAGGTCTGTGTGCAGCATAAATCCACTTGGTACAACTACTGTGGGATAGCAGCTTGTCCATTGCCCTGACCAGAAACAGCAGTAGCCTTGCAAGTCTAACTGTACAGAGCCCATGTCCCAGGGTACTGTACTGAAGTGAGGACTCCATTCTAACGCTCCATGATATTTTACTCTGTTTTTCCATTCTGCCAGGTTTTTTATTCAGGTGTTGTGCCCTTTCTGAAGAGTTGGCTCTTGAAGTATAGAGATGAATATTATCGGTGCTAGCCTTGCAAATCCAGGATAATCTTACCTTTTGAAGGGCAGGTATTATAAATTCTGTATCGGTGTATTAAATTAGGTATTAAATACACTGATCCAGAATTTGTAATACCTGCCTTTCAGAAGTATGCCAGTATGCCTTAAGTACTGGATTGCCTTACTTTTTCCATGTTTTCATTAGTGGGAATCCTATACCCACCCAAAAGTGAATAATAGCTGGTGACTTAACTATTTGGAAATGGTTCTGGTTGTGACCGCAGTGTACTTGTTTCTCTTTGGGTAAGTTTTAAGAGAAATGCAGCCCTATTGCTTCTACAGACCCTCTGGCTGCGAACCAAGAGAGGGACCTGTATCAGCACACGTAAGTATTTGGACCAAAATGTACTGTTAACATGACAGCAGCTCCCTCATTTCTCTCCGTTAGTTACGGTGTTGGGAAAGCAAAGGGGGAAAGTTGTTGTTTAATACCAGAAAGGAGAGAAGTGGTCAGTACAACAGTTTTAACTGTAAGATGCAATGAAAATTCACCTTACAGAAGTCCTCAAGTCCAGACTTTGTGTTGTTTTAAGAGAACTACTCAAAAACCAGAGTTAAAGTTATGGCCTTGGTGCAAAATTCTTCAGTAGTTTTTCTGTATTGTGTATGTGGAAGAATGGTAGCTAGTCAGCTGCCCCTTCTGTTTTTACCATATGTAAGAATACGAACCCCATGACCTGAAAAACACTAATGTGTTGCTGAATGGACATCAGGTCCTTGACTACCCGTAGGTGGGTACTGACCCATAGCTGAGTAAGTTCAGTGCTACAGGTGGGAGATCAGCATTTCTGAAAATTAAATCCAGGGTGGCTAACGTATTTCCAAACGGATGGAACCTCTTTGAGATGCAGCTAATGATGACCTTTTTATGGAGCTACCAAGAAGAATGACAAGCTTGTGCTGAGACACCCTGGAACTGAGCAAGTGGCTGCACATGGACCCAGATAAGCAGGAGCGATACAGAAAGTTAAACAAACAAGAAACAGAGGTGTGCAGTTGTCTTTCTACCAGTGTGAGCAAGATCAAGGAGCTGAAACATCTGTCATGGGGCCAGGACCTTGACAACTAGTTTCCCCAAAGTAGGACATTTGTTAAGTATTGCAACTTCTGGTGCGATGTTATATGGGAAAGAGATAGTAGGTCATGAGTGTGGGGGAAGGAGACTATTCTGTTGACTCCATTCAGTGTGCCTGTTCTGTTCTCCGAAGACGAGGGTAGAATATAGAAAAGGCGAATGAAAGGCAACACACAAGATCCGCAGACTAGTCTAATGCTGCTTTTTGCCTCACCAGGAGTAACAGAACAAGTTAATGACATTAAAGTGGGACTGATGATGTCTTCTAACCTGTTGCTGAGGTCAAAAGCATTAACTCCCACTGTGCAGAGGCAGAGAGAGTGGAAATGAGGTCACAAAGTAAGTCAGTGACAGCAGTGGGGAGATGTTTCCTGACCCATCACCTGATTCTCTGTCCACCTGCCAGAGCTGCCTTCTTTAGTTAGTTTGCCACTGAAATCTGTATAAAAAGTGATGATAAGAGACATGGCTATTAATGAGCTTCATCTGTGATGAGGTGTGGGTGGGAAGAGTGTTGGGAAGATGGCTGGCTGCCTCCAGCTCTGGACATAGGATCTCATTTGACTCGTGCAAATTCCAAGAAAAGGACTCTGGCAAAAAATTGCCAAATTGTCATGACGACTGGAACTGTGGGGATAATTAGGTTGTGATTCAAACTATTTTCACTCTTGGCAGTTCTCATTTAGTTTCTCCTCTCTGCCGCGTTTGTACAACTCACTGGACAGCTTATATATTTGCCAGGCCTTCTAGAAGCTTATCAAAACGCGCAAAAAGCTATCTCAAAAAAGAAGATAATGACAGGTTCTGATCTGCAGTAGTTCTTTGCATCCATGTGGAATGGCTCAGAATAGGAGATAAGCAGAAGGTATGGTTGTCTCTCGTTTGGTTCTTTGAGTTGGTAAATAATGAAGCGATATGCAGGAATTGCATTGCTCTGCAACTGGGAGCTCAGTTAAGGGTAAACATGGCTCACAGAGTGTGTTAGGGCTTCACGGCTTTGACAGTGTAAATGTTGCAGGGTTGGGTCCCTACTTACGTGGGTGCTCTTTGCCCAGTAGGGTTTGATCAAAGACCCTTTCAAGTCAGTGGAAAAAGACTTTTGACTTTAAGGAGCCTGGGGTCACATCCTTGGTAGTGACCTCTAGATTTTGGAGCCATTATCTGAAAACACTTTGGATCAAGTTCTAGTCTGCATCATGTATAACTCCACTGAACTCAACTGGGCTTTTGGGACTGCTGCAGTAATTACTGTGTGTTTCTAGGTACTTTGGGACTCCATGGGTCTTGCAGCCAGTTTTCCAAGCCACAGTGTCAGGCAGGGTGCTTTGGAAGAGCACATCCAAACAGTGAGGCCCAGTCATGATCCCAAACCCTATCTTGCTAGGCCCTATGTAGACACAGAACAAAACAAGTCCTTGCTTCAAAGAGCTTGCAGGCTAAATGCATGCTGTCCAGGCAGTGTTGCGCCTAGATCAGTTATCGCAACACACAGCAGCCGAGGCTGTTCACGTGGAAGCTAATAAAACAGGCCATTGATCTTGCAGCTAGAATGTGTCATGCTGATGGGGAGATGTGGCTTTAAGTTACTTTTACTTCCATCCTTTCATTTAACTTAAAATGTGGTTCCAAAGTTTGCAGTTTTTGGCAGCAGCTCTTACTTGACTTAACAACTTTTGCCTTTTCCATCCTCTAATTTTAAATCTTTCTCAATTAGCAATAATGCATTTTAATTAAAGTTCAATAGTTGTAAATAAAAGCAGACAAAATGCATTTGTGGGAGAAAAAGTGGCTGGTGGCATTTCAGGATGGTGGAGCTGCTTAGAATGAAAGCTGTATCGCACCGTAATTAATTGATTCTAGATTACTCCTGTTGCATAATCATGTTCAGCCTGGGCTTGTCAATGCTGTGCGCTCTCTTGTCAGTTATTATCAAGCAACAGGGAGTCCAGGTGCACATGTAAACCGACTGGAGTGGGAAATGCTAGCTCCTTCCCTATCTCTGCTATTGCCTAAAACAAGACGTTGTTATTACAGTGGCATCTGCGGATCCCTGCTGAGACTGAATGCATACCGACAGACAGTCCTCGCCCCAGAGTGCTCACAGCCCTAATAACTGTTTGGTTCCAGCAGTGTAATAGGAAATAATTCTTATTTCCTGCATTTTAAGGAGCGTGGCAGGCTTTGCTTTCCAGCTTCCCAGCAGCACTGCAGCTTCCACTCGCGGTGGTCCAAAGTACCAGACCGGAGTGAGTCAGAGGGTAGGTTCCTGCACTTACCTGATCAGAGAGCATTCTGCAGCCGGGTGATTTCCCTGATGGGGGGGAAAATAGAGTGTTTCCTTCTGAAAATGTCACTTCTTTGATTCATTCTCCTTTGACCTGGGTGGTGGGTTTTGACACTAAGGCAGGCCCCCCCACTTTCCCTCCATAGAGGCTGCTTTTAAGACACTCCACTGCTGGGTCATGTCCTTGTCAGTCCTGAAGGAACAAGCCCATGGTGTGACAGATACAGTTCTCTGTTGACCTGTGCCATTTGTTTTCCAGTGTTGCCTACATGAAGAGGGAGACTTGGCATGGCAGGGATGTGCTTCCTTGTGTTACAGGAAACCTTTAATGAAACGAGGCCTGGGGCAGTTGGAGACACCTATAAGGGAACCAGGCAAGAAAAAGCAAATGGTTTGTGAAGTGGCCCTAACAAGGCTCTGCGTACTCAAATGCTGCCACGCTCAGCTCACTGCTGCTTGGCTGTGCATGCCCCAAGGGCATTCCTTATGGATAACCTCCTGCATGGTCAGCATTCGTTATCAGATGTCACCCCAGGGAAATACGCTTTTGTGCTTGGGGCAAGGAAGAAAACAACCCGCAACTCTTAATAGCTGCACCTCCAGGGACACTCAGCAATCCCCACGGTAGCCACTTAATGACAGCAGATTGTGGAAGGTGGGAATGGGTAGAAGCCATGTGTTGAGGTGAGTACTTTTGAAATAGTGCTTCCCCCCTGCTCCTTTACAGGCATCCTGACATCCAAGGGAAGGCCAGTGGAAACATTTTGTGATCCGGCAAAATGGGGAAAAGCACAGCATACAGAGAACACTGCTTATGCCTGTGGGGAGGAGGAAGCTCTATCTCGTTTTCCGTGGCGACTAACTCACTTGGGCTGGATTTTCAAAGGTAACACGATGCTTAAAAATGCAGATAAGCACTAAGGGGGTTCCCAGATGATGGGAGTTAGAGCCTAGGTGCTTTGGGAACCCCCATAGGCACCTACATGCACCTTCAATCTGGCATTTAAAAATCTTTTGTAGTCAAAGGGATTTACTGAGAGAATGTCAACACTGCAAATCAGAGGTGTGACTGCAGCTCACTTAGCTGCACCTGGGCTATTTTAGGCTGGTCTAGGTTCCAAGAGCAGCGTAGCTGTAGTGGCACCGGAGGCTTTCCTTAGGGGCATTCTGCATCTTCTACTTCCTGATAATGCCTCCGCTTTTATGATCCCAGAGGCTTTAGTGTATTCTTTTGTTATGTGCCACAGGACCCTTTGCAGCCTTTGTTTCACCTTTATTGGAGAATCACTGCATGCACAGCCTTTCCTTATTGCCTTGGCTATAAATAAAATATAAATCTGCTGGTCTGGAGGATTCTTGTTTTTCTGTATTGATCCTGCTCATCTCTGTGAGCACAGGCTTTTTTTCCTAAGACAAGAAACCTCAGTTTTTCTCACAGGTCAGACCTTGCTGCCTGAAAGGGAGTAGTGCAGATTTGATAATAGACTGCTTGTGACAAGGAGACACCTGTGTTTCATTGCTTGGATGTTTATTAGCCTGGGCTGTAGTTGAACTCACCTCTTTAATTTTTCATCGCTTTTACCGCCTGCTGTAAAATTACACAAGAGCCTTGAGCAACCTAAGTACTGGTTCATCTACACAGCCAGAACAAATGCCTCCTATTCAGCTCTTTGCCACTGAAATAAGCATTCAGAGTAAGTTAAGTCTAGACCTAATACTGGTACAGTTAGTTCCTGGTCCCAACAAAGCAGGGTGAGGAGGTGGAGAGGAGGGGGCTGCTTCCATTAGGAAATCAAACTTTCCCCTCCCTGATATTTTCCTCTCTGTAGTTGCTTTCCTGCCCCTGGAGGGGACAGTGTGTTATTTTTCTGTCTACATTTTCAGAGAGAGGACAGGAAACAGAGAATATTGCTGAAAGCCTTAAAAGGAAATTGCTTTCTAATATCTGGTTATGCATGGACCCTGGATACAGGCTATCAAGAACCAGCCAGCAACTTCACTCCTCATGCCTGCATCACATGCAACTGGGACTGGATGTGTGGAGCCTGCAGCTGTTTTTCCATGCAGGAGTTGGAGCGCGTAGGCTAGTTACGAAGGTGTCACCTTATTTCCACACCCCTCTGAGGCTGAAATGAGACTGACACGAGGGCTTGGCAGAGCTGGAGGGTTGTCTTCCACCCCTGCTGGGATGCAACCGCAGCACATCATTTTCAGCAGGCAGCTCTGGAACTAATTGGGGAAAGCATGTGTTATCAGAGAACTGAGCACATCAGAGAAGAGCCTGGGTGTGAGAGTCCTTTATGCCAATCTACTGCACCAGGTGAGCTTTACACTAGGGGCTGCTGGTGCTTTTACAAGAGAAACACTCTGCTTGGTCACTTGTGGCACAGATGTTCACTGTGATTTAGGTATTCAGCTTTCCAGGGCAGGAGCCTGTACAGACAATACTTCATCCATTGGGGAAGGCAAATAGTTTTCAGGGCAGACTGATCTTGTTAATGGCTAGTCCTGTTCTTTGCAGGCATTAGCTATCTTTGTTGTACAGCTGGGCTCTATTTCACAGGCTCAATCAAGCAGACTTTGGTCTAAAATTAAGTCCCTTGCCCCTCTCCCCCTTCTTCCTCAGCATTGCGCTTGCAGGTGGTTAAAACCCGGCAGAAAATCGGGCTCCCTCTCTCTCTCTGTGTGGTCCTGCTAGTTCTTAACAGAAGCTAAGTGGGCTCCAGCCCCTGATATTGGATAACCCCAGGAGTGCTATTCCACTTCATTCCCATAAGCCTCTACTTCAAGGAAGCTTGTTTTCCATCCCGCGGATAACTTCAGTCTCTCACCTGCTTGTTCATGAAGAAATAGATGACTGGATTGTAAACTCTGCCTGTTTTGGAGAAGTAGGAAGGGAGTGATGCTGAAGCTGGGTGGATGGGGATGTCTTTGTGGCAACCACCATAGCAAAGGTGGCATAGGGCAGCCAGCTGGTGAGAAAGGCCAGCACCGTAGCAATCACCATCTGTGTCACCTCCCGCTCTGCTTGCTGAGTTGTCGCAGATCTCAGCAGCTCACTGTGCAGCACCGATATTTTAATGCAGTCTGAGAAAGTGGCCTGCAATGAGGGAAGAGCTTGCTGGATGAGCCAGGAGTGTGCAGCTACACCATTTGCTGGCTGCCTTGCCCTCCCTTCCTGGTCAGGGGCCTGGCTGACACTGTGTGATCACTCTATGCTCCTGTCACACCAAGTGCCATGAACATGGACACCCTTGTGGGCAGCCTTAGCCAAGAGGTTCAGGACTGCATTGGCATGGAGATGCAAACAGTCCCGCGGCTTTGTGAGTGACAAGAACTGCAGGAGCAGGCAACGGCACTGAGAGGTGTCAACACACTTGGCAGCTTCTGCAGATCCAGCCTGTGCATCCTTAAAGGAATGAGGCTGCAGCCACAAATCACAGGGTGCAAATGTGGAAGCCAGCCTGTGCAAATCAGACATTAGCCTGCATCATATGATCACAGATTCAAATGCAGCCTTGTGGAGTGAATTTAGTTGCAAACTCCATGATGGAGAACAGTTGTAGCCTGACATGAGAGAGAATCTAACTGGAGATGTCTCGGGAGTGCTGCCTTCTCTGCATGCTTGTCTGGCATTTCAAACTGTAGCTGCTCTGGGTGAGCTGACTGGCACTGCTGAAATCTCTTTTTTACTTACGGCCCGTAGCATCACCAGCAGATTGGTGTAGGAGAAGAGGATCATACTGAGAGGCAGCACAAAGCAGGTAACAAACAAGGCCGTGATGTAGCTATTGTTGTTGCTGCCGCCAGCGTACCAGTTGGGACCGCAGGAGGTTCTCAGACCTGGAAAAGCACATTTTGAAGCAATGCTGGGATAATTCTGCCGTGGCAGAGTCAAGAACAGAAATACCGTGTGCTGTTCCTACTGACCTGGGCCAGTGTACATAAGGAGCGCTCCAGAGTCCAGCCAGATGACAAGAACAACGATGGTGGTATCATCCATTATGAATTCTGCCTGGCAGAATCATTCCTAATCTATACCATGAGGAAGCATATTGATAAAGTTACATGAAAATTCTAAATGAACAGGTTTTGGATAGGTTTGCTTTGGGTTTCAACCAAGATAGGAGGCCAATGAAGACATAGTGGGCGTGTCTACACATTCATTAATGCGCCATAGGTACTGCGCATTCAGTACTGGGTTAACCAAGTATTAATTCAATGTGCAGTAACTTGTGCTACTGCGCAGTAGCGTGAGTGCATGTTTTTTTATTTTGACACTTAGGATTAACCTAATAACACTGTGCAGTAGAGTGTTAGCACAGTTTCTGCCCAGCATGTGCCTGCGCGGTGTTATTAGGCCAGTGTGCAGTAAGCATCTTGTGTAGACGCGCCCAGTGACTGCATTCAGGAGAGCGTTCTGCTGCTCCATAACTCACGTTGGCTGTTAAGCCTGCGCACAAGAAAATGGATTCACTGTGAAGCAGCAAACTTCTAGAGCGTTATCTCTGAACGAGACATTAATGAGCAAAGACCTAACGCTGCCTCATGTGCAAAGCCAGTCTTGAAATCTTGCATCCCAGCACAAGGAAGCTGCAGGCTTGAATGCTGCTAAGGGTGCGTCTCCCATACCTTCAGGTACGTAGCTGCTCCAGCCAAGGCTTGGTGGGACTGTCCGGAGAAGTGACCAAATCCAAGTGAAGGCACAGCCCATCAGTGCATGTTTTTGCTGAAATCTCCACTGGGTTTGCAAATCACGATGTATCTTTCAAAGGCCAGGATTGCTGGGGACCAGAGCCCCATGATTCCTGTGAGAGACCACTGAGACTTATATCTTGGGGGTGGCATTTTGAATGGCTGTACTGTTGAATGTGGAAGCAGACTCCTTGCCCTAGCTAGGACCTAAAACGCCAGACTTTCCTAAGCTAGGCTACTCTGTCTGCCTAATGAGAGTTGTATCGCGTGAATCATTCTGCAAGCAGCTGTTTTGCAGATGTTGTAACAGAAATTTCAAGCAAATAGGCAAAACCACCAAGGTGAAAAGCATCCATGATGTCACGGTCTAAGTCTACTTGTACTGTGACTGTTCCTATGAGCCCCAAGTATTTCTGGTTTATTAAACTTTCCAAGCATTAATTTAGACTTGGCCAAATAGCTACCACGTAGTTCTCAGGACAATTTCCATTTAATAGGACAGTTTTCAGGTTTCTAATTGGAGTCTAACAGTCCTGTGTCATGATATCATATGAACATTATTGATTCAGAAAACGCAGGAAGAGGATCCAAATTGCATTTTCCTCTCCTTGGAGCATTGCCTAATGTCATTAGGCTTTGTGCATTGTTACCCACACTCACAGAAATATTTTTTAATGGCATAAAACCAGACAGTGGAATGGCAGCTGAGCACCCTGCCCTCCCGCCCCCACCGCCTGTGTTTCAGTGCTCCCTGCTCCTGTACCAACACCATTGCTGACCTGAAAAACCCTCTCTGCTGATCACAGCTGCCACACACAGGAGCTTGTCTAGCCATTTTTGTATTGATACTATCACCAAAACCTGGATTTCTGACTTCTCCAGCATCTCCGCTGGGAAGTGTCCACTGTTAGCAATTGTGAACAGCAAGACACCGATGTATGGGGTTGTAATAAATGACTCTGCCATTCCTGTTCAAGTGCAGCTCAAGGCTGGGAACGTCCTCAGATGTCCCTTCTCGCTATCCTCTGCTGTAAGGAAAGGACTTATAATTTCACACTGTGAATAAAAGCCTTGGCTTTACTCTGTGGCTTGGGAAGACTCAAGGAGCCATTTGGTAGCCCAGGCCATAGATGTGCCATGGTTCTAGCTATCGACCGTGGTCTTAAAGCCTGCGGCTATGGTCTGTGGTGTTAGAGGAGGCATATCGCAGAAGGCAGAGTGTGGTCTCTGAGACCAGCCAGCTGAGCTCTGCAGGGAAACATTCTTACCTGTTACGGAGACCATGAAGCCTTCGAACTCGCACAACTTTTTGCCAAGCATGAAGAAGCCACTGATGTTGCTGGAGAAGCTGACAGTGCTTCCAGACAGTGTCACTAGGAGGTCGGCCACCGCCAGGTTCACTAGGATGTAGTTCAGAGGAGACCTGAGCTTCTTGTACCTTATGGAAACTATTATGACCAGCCCATTCACAAAGGAGGCAGAAATCACCATCATGCCCATAAACACAGCAGCCGACATGTAGATGCTTCTGGGGGCCAGGTGGGGCCACTGGGGACCATCAAAGGGGCCTGGGGTACCACTTACCTTGGCAGCCCCGGAGATGTTAAAGACGTACATGCCCTGCCCAGGGATGGAAACCAGACACCCACAACAACACAAGCTGAGCTGAAAGGACAGTGAACCCTCTTTATAATGCAGAGGGGCTTAAGCTTTCCTCCCCTAACACCCAGCCCTGCTCCCCCCACAAGTGGGTCTTTGTATTTAAACGTCTCTAAGCTCTTTTTTAATCTAGAAGTGGGTTTTTGCATTTTTTTTAAATCTGCTTGTACTCAGAAGAGGATAGAGCGTTACTTGCACTCTGATGGGCAAAACCAAACCATTTAATTGAATAGCTTTTTATTCTAGATGCTGGAAGGAGGGTGTTTGGGGGTGTGGGGAGGGTTGGGGTTTTTTGGTCTTTCCCCAGTGCTGTAGCACAAAGGCTGCCAACACAGTGCGCCTTGAGCCAAGGCATCATCACTGTTGTGTTTTGAGGTGTCCAGCTTGTAACTGCTGCCCTGCCTGGGTATGTGCATGGTGACTTGGGCATAACATGCACGTTAAGCAGTGGTTTGGCTCTGAGTGCAGCACTGGCGAAGCATAATGTTAGCAGTTATTTTACATCCACTAGCACCCAGCGGCCTGGAGCCCATGTACGTGATACTAATGCAAGGTCCTGGCACCAACAGACAAGAGCAAGGCAAACCTAGTGACAGTGGGTGGATAAGCTCAGGAGTAGTTTGGGGTGGGAGGGCAGCGTGCAGGGACAGTGGCCAAGGATATGATACAGGGTTTTGTGTGCTCACAGCCGTAGAGCCCTGGCTCTTTGCACACCTGTGACACACTATGGTCAAGTGAGAGGGTAGCTGCCGAGACTTCTTGGACAGACCAGGGACAGGGACTAGGGGTTGGGCCGAGCTGTTTATTAATGAAACTTCGGGGAGGTTTTCAGGGGCTGCTAGGGGACGGAACAGCAACCCCATTGCCAGCGAGTGCCACTGGGGGCTCAGGGCCCTACCCTACATTTGAAACTCTTCGCCTTTATCATCTTGTAAAAGAGCATGACATGCCCTGGGCAGGCCCTGGGAACAGTCTTGAGCACGCCAGGAAGGCAGGCATGCCCCTGGTTTCATACCCTCCCCCAGTATTACATGGCTGTGGCAGTGCGCCTTTGGAGCCTGCTACTTTAAAGCGGGGGGAAGCAGGCAGTCGGCAGGTGCTTGATTACGGTGGTGATATTAGAGTCCAGCGCTCAGGGCTGGGGCAGCAGTTTGCTGGCAGCCGCTGAGGGAGTAACATCACCCGGCTGAGCTACTGCTCCTGAAACATCTTGGAGGTAAGGCTGGGGCTGTGGGAATGGAGAAGGCCCCATGGTCCTGGGCATGACTGAAAACTGCACCCTGCCAGGGAAGGGTGGCCTGGTGGGGCTGAACAGCCCCCAGAAATGCCAGGCCAGTGACCTCCCTGGTGTAAGGCGGGTAGGGGCACCTTAACCCCAAGCCCCACCAACTGGTGGGTAGTGTAGAGAGTTGTAGTAGGGGCCAGGCATGCTTATAGGGAAGCACCTGAGCCCAGCAGGGGTGTGAGACCTCGGAGACCCCAAAGGAGGTAGAGTTATGTGAGTAGTGTGAGGGCCCGCACAGAGTAGGGTGCAACTTGGGCACCTGAAGGACTGTGCTAGTGGGGCGCAAAGTAGGGCTCTGAGGGCGGCTCGAAGGGCAGTACATGGGCCGCCCCCAAGAGTGAAGCTAGTTGCCTGGTGAGGGGCTAGGGGCAGAAGCAGCCCAGCGTTTGACACAAGGTTACGCCAGGTTGCTGCGTGTGTAGTGCCAGAGTGTGAGTAGCAAAGCCTGAAGGCCCGAGAGGGCCAAGGTCGCTCGAGAGGAGCAAGGCCAGTGGCGTATGGCCCGGTGATGGTATAATGCTAGAGGTCTCTGTGAGAGGGAGGCAGCGTGAGCGAGTGTGCGTGAAGGAGGCCAGCAAAGGACTGAGTTTGCTCCGGCCTCAGACCGGGGAGCAATACCAATCCGGATGCCATCTGCAAGGCGAGTGTGGAGGGAAGGTTAGGAGCCCGTTCAGGTGCCTTGTATCAAAGCAGCCTGTGGGATCCCTTGACGAGTACACACCAAACTCAGTGCAGAAGCTGCTTGTAATTTTTATTATTTCTTTTTAAAAAGACAAAAATCAAACCTGGTACATGAATACAATACATGCTCTCCCCTGCTGCTTAAATTAACTCCAAAAATAATATTAACCTTTGACATTACAACGGAGTATCACTACAAACAGACGATTGCCGTTAAAACCCCAGCCAGCCAGCCAGCCAGCCCCTGCAGCATCAGCCAGTTTTACTATACGAGTCGTGAGCTAAGTATCATCCCTGTGCTCAGAAGGACCATGGGGATCGCGGGTCAGAATAAGCAGGGCTCACACACAAGAAAATTACTAAAAAAACCCCCACCCTCGAGTGTATCCTAGGCACAGCTAGATTTATTCCAAGGTCCTCGCTGGTGAACTGTAGTAGTATCTGAAGCTGCTCTTAGACCAAGACAGGCTTTGGATTAAAAGCTGAGAGGCAGACACTTGGGGGAAGGTTTGGCGCAGTATTAGTGCCCGTGTAGTCTGTCAGTTGTTTAAAAACAACAACAGGCTTGCTGCAAACATCCAGTAGCCGTTGGTTTGACTGAGCTGACTGCAGCCTCACTGAGACTACGCTGTGGCAGTTTGGAAAAGAAAAGGCCCATCTGTTAGAAACGGCAGTGCATTTGGGTCAGTCGTGTAAACATAAGACACCCGCGTCTTTCGTTGCAGCTTATCGTATTCTAAGTGCCATCGAGATGCACCCGACACAGTGTTATTTCCAGGTGCGCAGCTCGCCAGGGCAGTGTGGCATCATGTACGCACAGCTCTGCAACCCGGAGCACTTTGTTTTTTGCAAGAACATGATCGCTCCCCCTTGCAAGGAAAGGTGGCTGAGCACCATGCTGAGAGGTAAGTGCCGCTGCCGGCTTACTGTTGGGCCTCTGTAAGCAGCTGGGAAGATGCATGCTGGGTTATGCTCATTACCATGGAAGGAGTCGCTGAGGAGAGAGGCTCTCTTTAGAGAACGCCAGGGGATATTCAGCAGGTCTCACATGCAGAGCAACTGCTTCCTGTTGCTAAAAAAAGAAGAGTGAGTGCTTGCACTCCCCTCTCTAAGTGGCACCTCTGAAAGCAGGATGGTCACTCCTGGGGTGGGTCGAGCTGCTCAGCTTGTTCTGATCTCAACCCCTTGGAACTGCCACGTTCAATCTTCCCATTCCATTAAAGGTGGCTTTAATCTCAGCGCTCACTCCCCAAACAACTGCGCAGAAATGAGTCCTTGGTCATTGTGTAGCCTTGAGCTGACCAGGGAATTAGTAAAGGTGTCACTGCTCCTCTGAGTATCCTGGCAAGCCTAGCGCTCAGTCACCAGAAGGACTGGAAAGGGTGTTTCAGCATGTCACAGGGGTGTTCTCCCTATGCCTGAAGAAGGGTGTTTGTGCCCAAAAGCTTGCAAAGAAACAAGTTTCCCAACTATTTCGTTGGTCTAACGAAAGAGACCGCATTTACCCAAAGAACCTTGTCTGCCTTTTAGCATGCTAGAAATAAAGCCACCCTGCAACACCACCGGCAGAGCACTCTTGCCTCGCACCGTGCGCCTGGTACTGGTGCTATAGAAACCCCTGGAAATGACTAAGGCCTTGCAGGAGCTCCAAGCACCCAGGGCTCTTCCCATCTGTTAGCCAGAGCCCTGCCTGTGCAGTGCTTTGAATTTCCCGAGTTTGCAGCACCCTGGTGAGGTAGATCACTGTCCCCTTTCTACAGCTGGGGAGGCCGGTGGAGGCCAAGGAGTTGCATGGTTCTGCCCAGGGCCACACAGCGAGAGCTGAGATTAAACTGGAGACATTCCTCGCTCCCGATTCTAAGTGCCCTCTGCTAATGACTGCTACCTCTTGGCTTGAATTTCACACCTTATTGTCTGCCACTGTGGGAGCTTCTTGGTTGCTTAATTCATCTGCTCCTGCCATTCATTTCCCACATGGGTTCGTAAGCCTCTGTGACCTCATTCCTTGCACCGGCTGCTAATTGCAACATAACAAAGAAGCCCAACTTCAGCGCTCTACCGGGGGCCAGTGCGCCTTGGAAAACAACCCAAAGGAAGCAACTGAATAACATTCCTTAGTGATACACCTGGGACATCCCCTCCTTGTCCTGTTACAAGCCAGGAGCCAGAGCCTGCCCTCTTCTCACCTGGGTTGCCCCGCTGACCCCCAGGGAAGCACTCATCCGTAGACAAGCAGGCAGGTTTTGGCTCTCAGCTCTGCAACTGGCAAAGGAAACATTTTCTAGTTCAAACGGTAGGCTGCTGTTGCCGTGACCAGAAAGAAAACACCGATCAGTCTGATAGCCTCAAAGGAGGCAAAAGTCTGTGCCCTGTTCATTTGGTCATCCAAACATTGGAGCGGGCAGGACGTGGCGTAGGGGACTGAGTTTGTGTAATCGCTGTGCAGAGAGGGTGAGACTGGAGAGCTGAGCCTTTACACATGACCTTTTTTTCCCTTTTTATTGTGGATTCTATTTAGAAATATTAACAAATCTGACAAAAGTACACAGGTAGGTAATACTGCGATACAAAAGTCTGGTAGGATGCAGGTTCAGGACAATTTCTGCAGCCTTCACATGGTAGCAAAACATTGGTATCAAACATTTAACAAGTCCTTGCATGACAACCACCACCGTGCATGCAGCGTGTGTATACATATATATACAGTCCAGTTAAAAAAGACGTCAATACAAAAAAAGAAAGACTCCACGCGTTCGGTCCTGCTCCACTGTAGGCATAAACCAGCATTATGGCACATAGGTGCTGAAACAAAGGGCACATTTAAAACAGCCTGGTGGGAAAGGGAGGTTTGCCAATTATTCTGGGCCACTCATAGAGCCTTTTTTATTAGAGGCACTAAGTATGCAGTGTCTGTGCCCTCAAATGGGATCTACAGGGGAGTGAGGGGGAAAGCGGGCCCTAACTACCCTGCTGTATTTTAAAGTGCTGGGACTATAGGGTGGGGGAAGAGAGCAAAGTTTTAAGATAATCTAATTCGACACACTGTTGGCATGCCAATCCAGTTCATGCATATCTGTATAACGAACTACACATAATTTATTGTTACAATGACCTTTTGAATGGTTGCCCCTCATTAAACAAGGTTTAGCCTCATTATAATGGGAAAACATAACACTCAGTCTAAAGAACACCTGAACTGCAGACTGGGATGTTCAGCACACAAGGCCATGTTTGGGAGCTAATGGAAAGGGGAGAGCGAATGTAAGGATGGACATTTCCAAGGGTTCTGACAACGGGCGACACATTGAGCTCATCTGGGACTTTGTGCTTGCTTGGAAAACCTGTGCCGGGGTCAGGAAGCAGAACCAGCTAGAGTTAATGAAGAGCAGAGTCAGTGCACGGCACGGGGGCCAGCAGAGGGGTTTGGTTCAGAACCGCTGCTGGATGCAGTCTCAGACCAGCTCTGTGATGGGAGGTCCTGACACTAAATGGATGGTCGGGGCAGAAGGGTGGTGTTTGCTGCAGTGGGGATTTGATCTGGCTCCTACAAAGATCCCATTTATTTCTACAGTGCAGAATCCGGGGCCTAGTTCTTTTGATGCTGACTGAAGCCAGCATGGAGGCAAAGAAGAGCACTGCAGAGCGGAGCAGGTGGGTGCCCTATGTGCTGTTTGCCCTGGTAAAGACTGAATAAAAGGAAAAGACCAAGCTGCATTTTCTGTCTTCTGGGACTGCGCAATTCTCCCTGATCTCAGCCATGTACAAAGACAGGATTGGGCCCAGGGACTCTTCAGCCTACAAGCCTAACCCCCCTCACACACCTAGCCGGTGGCAAGGCTTCTGTCCTGTCTTCACTGTCTCCATGCCAAAAGGAATACACAAACTAATACTAACGTTGGACAGGAAACTTCAGAGAAGCACAGTCTTGTTCAACCCCAGCTGTTTAGCTCCCAGGAGGAAAGGAAGAGCCATGGTTTCTCTGACATAGCAGCTGTGTGGAAGCGCAGTGTGGAGTTCAACTGTCTGTAGAGGAGCAGCCGTCAGTGCTAGAACAGACCGGGCTGTCATGTTTGGAAATTTAAAAGGATCAAAAATAGTAAATGCAAGACCGTGTATTATTTCTGAGGAGGCTGCAAGGGCCTCTGCCGTTCCCAGGTGGACACTGCCCAGCCTCACTGCACAGCCCTTTCAGCCTGCTGGGTGCAGGTTGTCAGCCAGGACAAGCGTCCCGTTTCCAAGAGAAAAGCAGAGAGGCCTCTTGAGCGCAGAGAACATGAGCACCCCGGAAGGAGAGGTTTAAATGCATAAAGACTCGTTAGGCCCAAACCACAGAAAGTGACAAACAACCAGAAACGTGGCACAAATCGCCTTAGTAAAATAGTTCCATGTTTAATAAATAATGCCTTTTGCTCATATTAGCTACACACACAAAGTGATGCATTCATTTTGCCACTGAATTGCAAGGCAGCAAGAAGATAATCCAGTATATCAAATAGTTAGAAACAAGTCAGGATTCTAGTGCATGCAGGCTTTGTGTCGTCTCACACCGTGGGTGTGTGTCGTGTGTGTGTTGGAGAGCATAGGTGCTTAGAGGCATCCTGAAGAAAACCCTAGGGACAACCCACTGAACAGAGAAAATCAATGTTGTCTCGTTCACTGGTCTTTCCCTGCAGTCTGGCCATCGATGGGATTTGCCAAGCCGCTCCTTGCTGGCTTGGTATCGCCATCCCTTTTAGCAGAGTAAGTAAACTCTAAGTCCAAAGGCATGAATTGTTCCTGGTTCAGGTTGCGAGAGCTCTGCTCTTCTCCGCGAGGTCTCTGGCCTGTGCTCGGGGTCAGTCGCTGAGGACGGCCCCTGGCAGCTCGTTCGTTAGCGTGTGCCAGCGCTCTATTTTCTTGTCCTTGTTTTTCAGGCAGTCGAACCAGTGCTTCAGCCTCTCGCCTTTGGCGTTAATTCCTAACACAACTCCACCTTAACAGAAAGGGACACGCCAACAGTCAGCTCGGCTGGGGAAGTAAGCCAAGCGGTGCCAGCAGAGAGGCAGACAAGTCTAACACTGCTGTGCTACCAACTGCCTCCAGCCAGCGCTACGCGGCCGGATGCTGCAAACCTGCTCCAGCTACCAGGATGCGTTTGGAAACAGCCGGCTCGGAGGGGTGAGTGTGAGGGGGGCTCTGCTGATCTATCCCACGCACATCAGGGGAGACACGCAGCTCTGCAGGACGCCCAGCTCCTCCTAAGGCTGACCTGTGGGCAGCCCAGAGACGGAGATCTTGGAGATGGCTGCTGGCCTAGTCAGGAGCAGTGTCTAGCCTGGACCTTTGCGGCTCTGGGGTAGAAATTTCTGTGCTGGGCAGGGGGCAGGGGCTTGGATCCAGAAGGCACCGGAGGGGGCTCCTGGAGCCTGGTGGCTGCAGCACTGTGCAAGGAGGTCGGTGAGATGCCAGGTCAAAGCCCCGGGGGGTGGGGAGAACCTGCATCTCCAGCTCCCTGTGCCAAACACACAAGGGCTGCACCCCCGTTCCCCCGCCAGTGACTGGCTCCATCGTCCATCCCTCCCATGCTCCTTTTGTTTCCTCTTCTGCATGCTTGCGCACTGGATTTCCTCAGCAGCATCCAGTGACAAGTGGTTTGTTTGTTCAGCTAGAAACCCTCTTGGTTTTTGCAGGTCCCTTGGGCGGTGGGGGGAAGAGGAGGAGGCTGAGAAAGGGAAGGTCGAGTACATCGCGGGGCCAGTTCCACACGCTCTGAGGAGCAGAGGTGGAGAGAGAGCAGGGCTGGAAATGACCCTCCACCCAGAGGGTGCTGGGAGGTAACAAGCTCGCCCTGGCAGCAGATCACTAGGGGCACGAGCAAGAGGACACCAGCTGCACGGGCCTCAAACCAAAGACAAACCAGACCCCCACTTTCACGCTCCTCTGGCTTTGATGAAGGGGTAGAACAGAGATACAAGTCCCTTTACCTGTGCTCCTGCTTGCTGCACAGCTGGTTTTGAAGCTGAAGGTCGGGTTGAGGTGGAGGAGAACAGAAGGAGAGGAGGAGAGCAAGTGGGAGAAGATGGAGAGCAGGAAGCAGTGCAAGTGACAGGAACAGCAGCAGCAGCGCGAAGGAAGGAGCAGAAAAAAGGCGGAGAAAAGAGGGGCGGGGAGAGGAAAACGCTAAGGGGAAAAGGGAGAAGCAGAAACAGAAGACACGAAGGAGCCAAAGAAGAAAAGAGCAAAGCAGAAGGGAAATGCAAGGGGAAGAGGCAACAGGACGGCAGAGCTGGAGGAGAGCGCAGGAAGGTGGAGATGGACAGGACCGGAGAAGCACAAGAACAGTGCGGGGGGTGGGGGGTGGGCGCCGCAGGCAAGGGTCTGAGAAATCCAGGAGAAAAGTTGTCAGGAAAGTGGGAGGCTGGAGGGGAGGGCAGGGGAGAGGAGAGACAGAGGGAAGAAAAGGAGCAGAAATGAGGGTGCAGGGGAGAGCGGGAGGGAAGAGCCGAGGATCAGGGGCAGACCAAGGGACAGAGCAAGAGCAGGGCAGCAGCGCCAGGCAGGCAGCACCTGGAAAGGAGAGGGAAGGGGCAGAGGCAGAAGGAAGGACACCGGAGCAGAAGGAGGGAAGAGCAGGACAGCAGCTGGAGAAAAGCCAGTCATGACAATGCAGGGGCCCAGAGGGCTGCAGAGTGACCGGCCTCGGCAGGGTCCTGCTTACCAATGAAGTCATTTGATTTTCCAATATCGTAATCCCACACTGTGACTTCTAAGGTCTTTTTTGCCAGGTCCCCGTGCTTTATCTCATAGCAGAACTCCTGTTGGGCGAAGAGACAGAGGTGAGGAGGCAGCACCCTCCCCAGCACCGCTGGCAGAGCACAGCCTGGCAATGTGCATCACGTCTGACCAGCGGGGGAGCTTTCAAGGCAGTGCTGACCAGGGACCGAGCCAGCAGCTGGCAGGGGCAGCCAGGTGCTGGGGCAAGCCCTCCAGGTCACCGAAAGGTGCCAAGGGTGGATGTAAATGGTCTCGGGTGCTAGAGCAGCCTGTGGGAGCCACCCAGCCACCTGTACCTGCTCATGGGACGTGCCCTAGATGCTCCGGAGCAGACTCCTTTGCTGATCCTGGGAAACACTCGTCTTGCCCCCATGGCCTGTGTGAGGGGCTCGGTGCCCCACGGCAGGCTTTGCTCTGCGTCAGGCAACTCTGGAGAAGAGGCTTTCCCCAAGTGTGATGCCCCGCCATCAACCAGGCCAGGCGGGGCAGCTGCCCAGAGAAGCACATGTGGGTTCCTGAGCAGCATGGGAGACCCCAGGGCTCCATTCCCAGGGCACTCAGCTGCATCGGTGATGGAGCCGTGTAAGCCCTTAAGGCAGACAGAAGCGAATCTTCTACCCAAACCCCCGAGCAGGAGCAAAGCTGCAGAACCAGCCTCAGCCTCGCAGTGAAGAAGTTGCACTGACCAGACTGGGCGACGGGGTCCCGGGCAGCCTTGTTAGAGCACGGGCACTTATCCATTGCTGACTGGCAGGCACGCAGAGGCCGGCTGGGACTGGAGGCCCCCTGGCACGGAGCACTGACGTGATTTATGGGCTTGTCATCTTGATGAACGAGGCTTTTTGGAGCCTCGTCAGGGACCCCCATGTCTCAGCCACCGCTGTGGAGGGAGCGAACATACCTCATTGAATTCGGGGTTCAGGGTTTTCTTTTTCACGGCTGTTTTGTGCTTTGACTTCTTGTCCTCATCTGGCTTCAAGTAGCTGTAATCACAGCAGAGCCCTGGTCACAACAGAGCCAGCTCCGCCGGGCAGGCGCCCTGTACCTCTGGTTCACGTCAGCATTCCCCAGACTCGCTGGAGCTGCGTGTCCAGCGCTGCCACCAACTTGGAGGGCAGGTTGTGGCACTGCCGGGCAGCGCGGCCTCCACCTCTGCAAAACGTGGTGGCTCTTACCTGCCTCCTGCTTTGAGACCCCCCCAGTGAAAGTTATCATGTAGACGCCACCTCACCTCGGCTGAGCTCCAGCAAGCTCTGCCCTCCCAAAATGCTGGCTGCAGACCCAGTTGTCTGCCAGGATCACTCAGTGGCTGGACACTCAGGCCGCACTGCCAGCCCGCCCACAACGGAGGAGCCTCGCCAACAAAAAGTACCGCCAGAGCCAGACTGCCGGGCACTCGAGCAGCAGCCATGCAGTGCGGTAGCACCCAGCCCACTGTCCTGCATGAACACCTGTTTCCAAAGCCCAACACCGTTCTGCTTGAAGCATTTTACCCATTGATGCACTCGCACACTGCTGGAGGGGCGAGCGGGAGCAAACGTAGAGGCCGGCATGGAGCCGATTCCCCCACTGCAGAGTCTGTGAGAGTGCCCTAAGGTGGGAATTCAGGCTCCATCCCCGGGGAGCGCCTGCTGCAGCTCAGAGCATGGCACTTTCCAACAGACGCTTCCATTTGTGCCCAGGCCCTCCTCTCCCAGCACTGCCCAGATGTGGCCTGAATAGAGCACCCATGTCTGCCCCTGCTCTGCAGTCACACCCTGAGTCCCGTGCAACAGGCAGGTGCCAGGACAACCGTGTAGCACAAAGGGCTCGTGTCTCTGGAGTCAGCCCGCAGCACCCGTGAGCAAGGGAGACACCATGGACAGTCCCCTTCATGAACTGCAGTGAAGTGAAGACCCTGCACAAGCACACCTGTCTGTCTGGCGCACCCAAAGGCTGGCCTGCTGAGCTGAGTTTAGTCTCAGAGCCAAAGGACTGGGCCAGGCTCAGGCTGCTATGGCTCCTGGGCAGGCAGAGGAAGGACCCTCTCTGCTGTCCCCCATGTGCAGGGCAGCGTGCGCCTCTCCTGCACCTGCCACGTTCATCCCTTGGCAGCAGCTCAGCACCTGAACGCTGCACCAGGCACGGGGTCAGCCAGGTTATCAGCGGCTGCCAGGCCCTGCGCCCTGCAGCCTGTTTACAGCTGGTAAGAGACAGGCACAATGTGAGCAGCCCTGGCAGGGTGGCAGAGCAGCTGGGCACTAACTGGGTGGAGGCAGAGAGGGGAGGGAAGGGCACACTCAGAGCAGAGCGGATTCAACTCTCCATTACACCCAGCAGGGCTGGGTCTGCAGGCAGGGCTGTGTGGACCCCAGCTCCCAGCCCAGGGGGCAGCAGCGTGGAGCGCATGGCACCAGCACAGCACTGCAATCCTGGGCAGGGTCCCTGCAGGAAGGGTCTAAGGCTGGGCCCAGGCAGGACATCGGCCCTGTGGCCATGGCAGGCAGGAGCCAGGATCAAAGGAGGATGGAGGATTAACAGGACCCTGCAACGGGAGCATCCGGCAGCTTGGGAGGAGGGGAAGTGTCCTTTAGACAATGCTGGGGAGCCGGAGACCCAACCTCAGCCCGACGGCTGTGCAGCAGGGCAATTGCAGGGTCAGGACAGCCCTGGGCAGGAGGGACGGGGCTGCCACAAAGGAGAGCAAGACAAGCTGGCCCCATGGCTTCCCCTCTGGGGTGCATGGGGTGGGCGAAAGGTGCTCTCTAACTGGGGCAGTTCCTTCAGATTAAGGGAGAGTGCAAATCCCAGGCCGTGGCTTTTCCTGTACAGCTCCCTGTGCTGCAAGCGCCCCTGCTCCTGGACCCCCAGCCGGGGCCCAGGCCTGGCAAGCCTTAGTGTTGTCAGCTGCAGTGCAGCCAAGGCTCCTTTTCCTTCTCCAAGGGCTCCAGCCCTAATTACCCCTTCCCGAAGCCTCGTCTCAATGAACTGTCTTGGCAGCGGCTGCAGGGAACAGCTGTGAGGGAGGCGCTGGCTCGGGGCTGCACAGAGCAACATCAGCAGCACCTTCTCCCCAAATGTGCCTGTGCCAAGCTCTCCCGATTTCACCCACAGAGGAGTGGGCCCAAGTCCCCAGCGCTGGCGGGGCAAGCACCTCCACTCCCCTGCCCCTGCACGCGGGCCTGAGGGTTGTAAAGCAGGAGTCACTCCACTGGTGTTGGTGAAGTTGCACCAGACAGCCCAAGAGCAGGGATGGCAGCCCGTTTCCCTCCTGCCCATCTGCCCTGGCTCCTTCTTCCCCAGACCCTTGGGGTAACCAGAACATCTCCCCTTGCACTGCTGCCTCAGCCAGGTGCTGCCTTCACCTCCTGGAAGGGCCCCCTTGCCCGCCACACCCTGCCACAGGCCCTGGGCTGCCCAGGCAGAGGTCAGTGCGCTTCCCCAGCCCAGCAGCTACACACTGGCGCAGAGTGCCCTGGCCACCTCCCAGAGGCCTGTGAATACATCTCAGACACGTGGTGCTTTGAGAAGGCGCCTGGCAGGCCACAGGCACAGCAGCAAGCCCAGCACCAGCTGGAGCCTCAGCGCCAAGCATCACAGCTCTCACCAGCTGGTACGACGCCTGTCTGAGGTAACGGGCTGCTGAGGAAGATACCGGCCAAGCCCAGGATGCGCCACACAGCAGCTGCCGAGCCAGACGGAGCTTCCAGGCAGCTCTCAGGAGAGGGATCGCGAGGGGAGCCGCGTTTCCTTGGTTATTCTTAGCCTCTAATTGCCTCCTCGCAGATCGTGCACACGTGCTAAGCTACAAGCATCTGCACAGCCACTGCTGGCATCTCCCCAGCCCAGCTCAGCACCGTGTTGTGGGAATTGAAGACCCCCATTCCCACCTACAGCAGAATGGCTCCAAGCTAAGGAGGGGGAATTTGCACCGCATCTGGGAAGGCTGAGCCCCTGGCACCCCCGAGACCTGCAACAGCCCTTCTTCGAGGGACAGCACCTGGCACCCGCAGATCAGGGAGAAGCTAAAGGCTCTGAGCTGGCCCCTTGCAAAGGCTCGGGCCCTAGCCCTGCAATGCACCAGTGCCCCCTTTATGCCCCTGAAGGCGGGCACAGCTGTTGACGGGGCACCCGCTGTGTGGCTCCGTGACACTTGCTGACTCGCTGCACAGTGGCCTGGGCTGCCAGCACCTGCCCTGTCTGCTGCTGAGAGACCTGACCCGAGCTGTTGTGCAGTTGGTACCTTCGCCCTTCCCTTGCACAAGATGAGCTCCCATTATGCGAAGCACCAGGCTGAATTAATCAGGCTCTAATCAGGATCAAACACCTCAATTATCCCATCCAGCTCCCCTGTCCCTGTCAGAGTGGAGCAGGATGATGGAAACCCCTCTCCTCCCATGTGTACAGGCTGCAACCCCACAGCCCTGGCCCCCCACGCCTGCCCCAGCCCATCACTGCATCCAGCAGCAGGAAGGTCACTCGATCGTGCCCTGCAGAGCTGCCCCCTCATGCCAGCCGCTCAGCACACAAAAGCCCCCAGCAGCTCCAGGGCCCAAACCCATGTGCCTGAGGATAGGCAGGCAGGGGCTCCCAAAGCATCAGCCTGCTGCAAGCCGCAGCCCTGGTCCTGGCCCCAGCCCGGCAGCCACCTGCTCCCTGAGCCATGTCACTCACGTTTTCACGTAGGGATCAGAGTAGCCGTTGGCGTCCATGGCGGCCAGGTGGGCGCAGCGGACGATGCCCACCAGGAGGCCCTGCTTCTGTGAGCTGTACTTGAGGGAGATGAGGATGCGGCCCCGCTCCTCCAAGGACTTGTCCTCTGTTTTATCTATCTGGGGGGACGGGGAGAAGAAACAGGCGCTGCTCAGTACGGGCCCAGGGCAGGACTCTTGGGTTTTGCTCCTACCTCTGCTGCTGACTTGGTGGAGCCCAGGGAACACGTCAAGTGTCAGCTCAGATTCACGGGGCCAGTCCCAGTGGTCCCAGTGACAAAGCCACCAGAGGCTGATAGGGACGGCTCTGCAGGACACACAGGGCAGGGGGAGGAAAGGAATGGGGGTCTCCCACCACTACCACCCACGTGACATGGGGCCAGCGCCTGCCTAGCCCCTGGCTCCCTGCCCTGCTCACCGGCAGCTGCTTCTCCAGGCAGATGTTGAAGTTCTTGGTCTGGTTGGGCTTCAGCTTCTTGAGCGGGATCCGCGTCTCCCCAATGAACTCGTTGTGGCGGAACTTGTCTTCATCGCAGACGGAGATCCTGAAATGCAGCAGGACTGAGTCAATCCTCGCTGTGGGGTGGGGATGCCACCAGACCAAAGCCCTGCTCCCTTGGACTGGCTCTGGCCTGGGCAGGAGCAGAGCAATGAGCACCCGCTCCCCAGGCCCAGCTGGCCACTGCCAACACCGGGACCTCGTTCGCGCTTCACAGGGACCCTCAGCCAAGGAGGCACGGGCAGACCCTGGCTCTGCTGCCTCTGCACCTGCTCTAATGTTTTGTGGGCACACGAGCCCACAGGGCTTGACCAGCAACTGAGCTGACCCCCGTGGAGCCCAAAGGGCTTGGATGGGGCCGGGCTGGAGCATGGGGGCGTCACATTAACCATTGTGCAGCGTGCCGCAGGGCAGCTCTCCCCTCTCATCACAAAGTCTGACCCTGGTGCCGAGCCAGCTGGCTGCAGCCCAGTAGAAGAGGGCACAAAGCTGCTCTTGGCCTGGGAAGTGCCCTTGACTGGGAAGCTGAAGCAGGCTGACTTGAGGGCCTGCATGCTCTTCTGCTCCAGCCCTGCTTTTACGCAGCTCATGAGAACCCAGATGCCGCTGGAAGCAAGGAGGTGAGGCAGGCAGCGGAAGTAACATTACAGATGTTGCTCCGGTCCTGGGGCTTCCAGCACACCCATGCTTGTCCCCTGGCGGAGCACGGTGGCTGCACGCCCACTTCCTGCAAGGGAGCGAGCCCACTGGCCTGGATCAATCTCTGCCGGTGGAGGCAAGTCCGTGAGCAGAGCGGCGCGGGACCAGGCCTGCTCTGGTGTCTGTCACATTGCATCTGAGCAAGGATGGGCAGCCGGCTCCCCCAGGGTCTCAGCATCCCCGGCAAGCAGGGAACACAAATGCAAGCAGAAGTCCTCCCTGCCAAGGGCCCCCAGCCTGCTTGCAGACCCACAGCCCCGCCCAGCCTGGCCAGGTTCATTCGCCCTGTTTTGTTTCTGGGCAGATGCAGCGCACTAACAGCTCATCAGAGCAGGCACGGGCTGCATGCTGCCTTCACCGTGACGCGTTACCGATTTCACCTGCGGGGCTGTGCAGGACACAGCTATGTGTGGTTTATAATAGCAGGACATCCTCATTGGAGATACCCACACACCCAAAATCTCCAGAGCAAGCCCCACGTGCCCTGGGGAGGCAGCGGCACATGGAGCAAAGGGGCAGCCCTGGAGACAGACCCTCCCAGGCCCCTGCCTGTTTTAGTGGGCTCTTGAGTCCTGTGGCTTTGCCCCCACCTGCTTCTGTGGCCCATCTGAACCTTGCTGGAGACTGTTTGCTCGCTTCCAGCTCCTAGATGTTACCGTGAGCGAGCCAGGAGTGTGCAGCTGCAGGATGTGCATTAGCTGCTGTTAGCGAGCATTCACAGTGCAGGAGGCCTGGAGAGCTTCTGGGCTGACAGGCCGGGAACTTGGGATTGAGGGACTCCCGCTGTTCTTGGAAAACAAATGGGACTACATAGGAAAGATGAACCTGGATCCCTCGCAGTCTCCTCCTACCTGCCAGGGGGAAAGGGGGCATCCCCCTCAGCACAACCTACCTGGTTATTCCCCACATGCTAGAGCTGGGTTATTATGACTCCCTGCCCTGGGCTGCACTTGTGTGAGTAGGGGTGTCCCCAGGGCCACTGAGGGAGAGATGAACCCTACCAGGCGCAGGAACCCAGCCCCGCAGCCCCTACACCTTTGCCCTGGCCGCTGGCCAGCCCCAGTGCTGTTCCTGGCAGGCAGAGGCATCTGCTGTCCTCCATGCACAGGGCATCTGCAGGCAGCTCCTGGCGGCTTCAAACCGCATGGGTGCTCCTCCCTCAAGGGCACCCCCAGCAAGGCGATGGGGGCACTTCGGACGTATTTCTGTGCTGTGATCTCACGGCTCCTCCCAATTCCTGCAGCCGCGGCTGCCAAGGACAGCGGAAGATCAACGAGGAGCCCCCTTCCCTTCCACCTCAGCACGCTGCCGGTAGCACTGCCAAGCCTGGCTGCTTGCCGTGGCGACGTGCTCACTGGACCTGTAGCCTGAGCTGCCACTCAGAGCACCTGGTCCTGGTGAAGGTTTCTCCTTCCTGCCACTCCCGGCTCCCCAGCTGGCCAGGGTCAGACTCGGCCATGCCAGATGGAGGTATGTGCAACACACACAGCCATCCTGCCACGGGAAACAGGCTTCGGCAAATGTGAAGCCCTGTTCCCACTGTGGGCAGTGCTGAGCGAGGGCCAGCGGGCCACCACGTCACGGCTCACTTGTCTTGCTAGATACAGCAGACAGGAGCCAGGTGCTGCCGCCCCAGAGATGGGTGATAGAGCACGGCCTGGACCAAAGCAGGGCTCCATGGAGTCCAGCGTCCGGCCCGGCTGGGGCCAGCTCTCAGCACCTCGAGGACCTCCCCAGCCCCAGGGACGTGTGGGGTATACCCACCAGACTGGGCCTTGCCTGCTGTGTCAGACAGGCTGCAACCCCTGGCCATGGTTTAAGACCATCCATTCAAACAACAACCGAGCCGTCTCGGTCCGTGCCCTGTGTTCCCAGATGCTGCAGTACCGACCAGTACACCGCCACGTGAGACCAGGAATGCAGCACGGACACCCCTGAGCCACAGCCTCTGCCCACAGGCCGCTTTCCCCTACTGCAGACATCTCCTGCCACCTGGAAGACTTGCTCCCGCACTGCACCCCACAGAGAGGCAGGGCCCAGCCCAGGCTGCCCCCTTGGCCCCTGGGACCGAGAGAAAGTGATCCAAGTGCCTCACACAGGCCTTGCTTGCGCTGGTGTGCAGCCAGGCTCAGCGCACGTGATGTCATCAAGGCTGGGCCATGCCACGGGCTCCCCTCTAGCTCGCAGCAGGAGCGGCTGACGGGCACGGCTTTGCCTGGCCAGGCAGGGCCGGAGCCAGGGTGTTGGCAACTGCCTCATTTCAAACTGCAGATGCAGAAGCAACGGGGCGCCCGCACACAGCGTGCGGCCTGCGCTCTCCACCCCACAACAGGGTGGGAGGGAGAGAGCGGGGGTGGAAAGAGGACTTTGCTCCGGGAGGACCACAGCACAATCCCAGCGTCTGCTACGGCTCCTTCAGCAGTAGGACGAGCAGGGCCAGTGTCCCCAGGGCTCCCAGCGGGGGGGCAGGACGCTGCTCCCTGGGGAGCTGGGGCTGGCGCTGCCTTGCTCCCAGGCTGGGGAGGCGCCTGTTCCCTTGCTGCTGGCTCTGCTGTCTGGCCAGGGACCTGCTGGGAGAAGACCCTGTGACTGGGGCCTGGTCTATCCTCCAGCTCCTGTTCCCAGCTCCCAGGGTGGGGAGAGGGGAGATTTTCTCCTGGGCAAGGTACAGGCCGAGAGAGATGGCTGCCCTGGCTGTGGCTCTGGACATTGCATGTCCAACCACCCCAATGACTAGACAACGTGCCTCTGGCTCTTAGGAGCAAGCTGGTGGCCAAGAGAAGTGCTGATGACTCCTGGCTTCCCTTCCGGTTGAGGCCAGGGCAGCTGCACCGGAGCAGAGAGCGGGCACTGGTGGGACCAGCCCATCCACCCGAACTGGCCTAACGAGGAGCCGTGTCCCGGCAGGAGGATGGAGGGGCCCAGGGGACTAGGCGAGAGCAGGCAGCGGCTCCAGGAAGAGGGGGCTACCATGGAGACGCCCAAGAAGTTTAACAACAGTCTCACAGCGAAGCCCTACAGGGAATCCAAGGCACAGACACAGCCGTCCCGTCCCCCCACACTTGGAGTTTTAACCCCCTAAGCTGCTGCGACGGGGATAGCGGGTGGGCACACACCTGACTCACCGAGGAGCAGCGGGTGGCAGGCAATGGCACTGTGGCCATCCATCGCAACGTGTTTCTGTCTGGGTGCGCTGCACAGACAGCCCAAAGCCAAGGCAGCAGAGAAGGCAACCACGGCGGTCTCAGGTGCACCCAAGGTGTCCAAATGCCTCGTAGCCAGCCGGCGGTCCTGGCAGTCATAGGACCCCCTGGCAGTAGTTTGGAAGGGCACCCAGAGCACCCTGGTGTCTCGGATGTCACAGTATCACCACACAGGTCATCCTGGCCTGCACCTAACCCCCCACCCTCCTGGGCTCAGCCTGCCCCAGCCCCCACCGTAATTGCTTTGGTACAACACGGTGGCTCTTCCCCATGGTGAGGGCCGAGGAGTGCAGGCACTGGCAGAGGGACAGCAAGACCAACCCCGGCAGAGAAGAGAAATTTCCCGGAGCCTGAAAATCCACAACCCAGGTGTTGAACTCCACATCACCAGGAAAGGGAAAAGCTGGACCCACGTATTTGGTTTCTCTGCTAAGCTGAGCTCAGGGCAGGCGACCAGTCCTACCTTTCGCTCATCCTCCCTACAGCAGCAGAGGCAAGATTGCATTTGCCACCAGGGTCAGCACTTCAATCTGTGCCTGACAGGCAGGTGCTGGCACTGCCAGAGAAACATTAGCCGTGTGGAGTGAAGGCAGCCGGTGCAAGCTACCCGACATCCCTCTGCGAGGGACGGACAACAGAGCTGGGCAGAGTCAGTGCTGCAGACTGCTGGGGGATTAGCCCGCACTACACGACAGTACACAGTCTAGCTGGCACGGCAGTGTGCAGAGATCCCAGGGCTTGGCTGGCATCTCTCTTCCAGCCGCGGCCCTGCTCTGGACGTAGCTGTGCTGATGGAAGAGGCCTTTTGCCAGCTTAGCTTCTGCCGTCAGGGGAGGTGGCTGAACACCTGCACTGACAGCAGCCCTGTAATGTAGACAAGCCCTGGGTGAAAGGCACAAACCTCACATAACCTGTGCAAGAAAAGACGGGGAAACCACCCGTTTTCCAAAGCCCCCCGGGGCTTCCCTGAGAAAGGGAAGGTTTCAGTCGTGTGCGGCAGAAACAGTGCCCTCCAAGGAGGCTGTCATTAGCACCTCTGAAGGAATTGGGCTAATAAGAGAGCAGAGGCCACTACAGAGCTGGGCATGGCTGTGACAGAACAGGGCCCGTCTCTCTTCTCCGCTGGGCCTGTCCATGGGCAGGGACCCAGCAGACGCCTGCCTCCAGCACAGGCAGAGGGGGCAAGCTCAGGTCCCAGGAGCATGGCTTGGCCAGTGGGAGCAGGACCCTTCAAAACAAGCATCTGGGATCTGTCGGACCTGCCCTCCACATTAGCAGTGGCTGGGCGTGGCGTTCTCCCTCCACCCGGTCTTTGTAACCCTGATGCTGAGGCTGTGGGCCTGGCAGCTCCATGTGACAAGTGCCAGGCGGCTGTGGCGCCTGATCCGGTACCGGAGGAAATGCAGTCACCTGCATCTGAGCTGCACCGCACAGCCTTAGGGCAGTGGAGGTTTTATGTTGTGGGTTAGGGAAACCAGGTAGGCACCACGTCTGCTGGGCACTTTCCACTGTGCTCTGAGTCCTCCATGGAGAAGATTGTCCCCTTCTTTCTCTCTGTATTAAATGCGTTCCCTTGAGGCCCCCTTCCAGCTCGATGGCTTTCAAAAGCGACTAGCTCCTTCCTTCAGCTCCTCTGACGCGTGAGAGCGAAGCAGCGAGTGAACAGCCGTTGCTCATTAAAACTTTACTTTCCATCCCACTCGCTCAGGACTCCTGCGTTCTATTTCCGACTCTCCCGCTGAGTCGCTATGTCTGTGGGCAGATCGCCACCTCTGACTCAGCACGCTCCCGCGGCCGAGGGACGCAACTACCGGCTCCCCAGGGGCCGGGAGAGGCAGGCAGCTGGTGTGCAATTCGGGGGCTCTCCGGCTGTCTAGGCCGTGGCAGCACGGAGGAGCCAGCTCGGAGCATCTCCGGGGCAGGAAGATTCCCAAGGGTGAGTGGAAGGGGGCTCCAGGTCAGACAGAGCAGAGCTGGGGTCGGGACTCCTGCTTTCACTCCATCCCCCAGCCTGTGTGACCCCAGGCCCCCTACTCCCCCTCTCCTTCCCCTCCGTGGTGAAGACACGGAGATGGTCACCACGACAGCACTGCCAACACTCAATACTGGGTACCAATATGTCAAATGGAGGGAGGGCAATGGGGGTGGGGGGGTGGGCAAAGGGTTTCTTGTACGGGCCAGTAAACATCTGCGCGCGCTTCCTTTGTTAGTAACAAATATCCGTTCATCCACAAGCCCAAGCTGCAGGGACCAGTTTGGGGTGCCTGGAGAGAATGGCTCTGTGCCACAGCCAGGTGAGCACCCACAACCCACGTTGCGTGGCTGCCTGTGTTTGTGCGGGGCAAGGGGAGGGAGAAACCCGACTTGACTTCCAGCCCAACTGCAAAGCAGCTCTGGGTACATCATGAAGGTTGCGCTCGCCATGCAGCCGGGGTGCGCGGGTGGGCAGCTGCCTCGCTGCATCCCCCCGTGCCTCTGTCTCCCGTTGTTTCCTCTTCTCGTCTGCATGCTTGCAGCCCCTTGGGGAGAGGAAGCAATAATCCTCTACAATGGGGTCTACAATGGGAGTTTGCGACTCTTGCTCTCTCCTAATGGGGTGCTCTTTGGGTGGGTCCCTTCCAGTCCAGCTGTAAGACCGTGCGCGGCACAGCCGGAGAGCCGTGGCTGTGGGGCTGGGGGGCTTGCACGCTGGAAGCCCCTAGCACAGGTTCCTGGGCAGGCTTCTCTGCAGGTGCCCGACAAGGTAGACACCGGGCAGGAAGACCTGCTCTCCCACTTCCAATCATGTCGGAGAAGAATCGCACAAAGAAAAGTTCCTTCTAAGCCCTGAGCCAGGCAGAGCGCCGACACTGCAGCATCTTCTCTTTGAATGTCACTCAGGGCGGGGAAACGGGGTTAATGAACTGAATCCAGCCTTATTTGCTTTTCCTTTTTTAGGACCGTCTCTGTGTGAGCTCTGGTGGATGGGGAACTGCAGGATTAATGGAGATGTGCGGAAAGGTGCCAGCCCTGCTTCTATGTGTGCACATGTGTGCGGGAGCTAGATCCGAGTATCTGTGCAGACGGCGTGGCCATGGGGGTATTGATCGTGGTGTTCCCAGGTGCCTGTGTCGCTGGCAGGGTGGGCGAGGGGGTTTCTTCTCTCCGTTGCATTTCCCTGCGTGTGATGCTTTTCTCTCCTTGTGTTTTGCAGTGCAACCACCCCCTGGCAGGCACGGCACACGCTTGCCCTCGCCCCTGACGGTGCATGATGGAAGTGGCCAGTCTCAAAGACTTCCAGTGAAAATCCCTGGCACCGCTCCCCAACAGCAGGGTCTACTGCTCCTTGGTGGAAGTGGGAGGGCAGGTCTTTGCCATCGGGGGCTGAGATGACAACAGCATCCCCATGCACTGCTTTGAGGTGTACTCCCCAAAGCCGACCAGTGGGACTCCCTCCTTCCCATGCCCGCGGCCCAGGCCACCCTGGGCAAGCGGATCATGGTGATCGGAGGGGTTGGAGTGAATCTGATGCCCCTGAAGAGCGTAGAGATGTACAACATCCATGAGGGCAAGTGGCAGAAGAGGAACTCCCCGAGAGAAGCAGCGATCGGCATCTCGGTGACTGCGAAAGGCGAGGAGAATTTGTTTGCTACGGCAGGCCTGTGGCTGGCAGGGAGGCCCCCCCGGTGCGGGGAGCACGGCAGGGAGAAGAGGGCTGCGCAGGGCTCCAGGGGCAAGGGGGGACTTTGAGCTGGGATGGGAGAAGGATCCCCTTTCCCTGGGAACTTGAACTGGGCCTTGTCTGAGGCTGGAGGAGTTGATCAGTGGGTTGCCTTCCCTTCTGCAACATCCCTTGTGCAGGGAAGAGGGACCATTACTCTCACAGCCCTGACCCTGAAGGAGATCCCGGACTGAAGCCATTGGGCACAGCTAAATCCTGCGGCTCTCCCACTCTCCAGCTGTCTTGGCGGACAGCGACCTCTGTTTCCCCCAGGATTATTTTTTATTTTGCCAGGCTCAAGCTTCACACAGGAGTCCAGACTTCCCCAAGGTTTGGGGTCAGGCCCATTTCTCCTTCCAGCTTCCTGTAACTCAGGGAAGGAAGCTAAGAGGGGTTCAGGGGCCAGTTCTGCTTTTGAGTACAACAGGGTCAATCTGGAGCGACTTCACTTGGTTTGCCCAGGGCAGGATTGGCTCCCTGTGTTGGTTCTGGTCACATTTATTTCCAAGGCCCACTCACCGGGTTTGCAGAGGCACTGACTGCTCAAGACTCCATGGATATCTGTGGGAGCGAGGAGCTCCTAGTGCCTCTGCAAATCAGGCTGTCAAGATCCCTGCACTGGTTTAACCTTCCTGGTGGTGTGAGGCCTGGGCTGCAGCTGTTGGAACATCCCTGGGGTGGGCACGGGGCAGGCACCCCCAAGCCTGTGGCACCCCTGGGGCTGCTGCACCACCCAGGCAAGGGGCGAGGGCACGGGGCCCAGAGCTGAGCCCAGGCTGCACCTGCACTGGTCCAGGCTGGCTCTGCACCCCATGCTGGCCTTGGGGGCATGTGCCCGGGCAGCCGGCAGGGGTGTGGGGATTGGGGCCTGGTGTGCTCCCGGGGCAGGCGGGCACTGCCTGCTGCTGCATGGGGCTGAGCCTCTGCTTTCCAGCGCCCTGCACCGGGCCGGCCCTGCAGCAGCACCACGGCCTCCAGCAGGGCCTCAGTGCAGCCCGGAGGCCCAAGTGCTTGGGGCTTGCCCTGCCCCTGCCCCTGCCCCGCTCTGTCAGCGCTTCGTGCTGCGCTGGGACAGGGAGCCAAGGCCGGGCCAGTGTAACATACGCACTGTGCAATGTGATGCATTGTGTGCATTAAGATGTGACATGAGTGTGTGCCAGAAGGACAGCAATTTGCAGAGGGCTGCTGACTGCCCTTGCACCACACATCGCAGAGGCACCTGGAAGTGGGAAGAGGAAGTGATGAGGACCCTGCAGAGTCCTGCTGCTGGACTGCAAATCCCCCAAACCCAGCGGGACAGGAGGAGGAGGTGGTGACCTGGGATCCCTGGCTGGCGACATGCCAGCAAAGCTGCCAGCCGTGGTGCCCGCTGGAGAGGGCCTGAAGCAGAGAAGACGCTGCATGGCACAGGGCTCTGGAGGAAAGGCTGGTTCTTGGGGACATCCCTCCGCACAGGAGGGCAGGGGACCGACCGTATGTGCTGATGTGTGACCCAGCGGGACTGACCACTACCTGTCCCCTGCCCTCGAAGTGCACGTGCTTATACTTGGGCTGCCTGTGTCCTGGGTGTCTGTCCCTTCCCTTGGCCTGTGCCCCCAGCGCCCAAGACACTGCCTAGAAAGGCCATCCCTCCTGGGCTGCAGTGCCTGTGCCTGGCCCCGCCGGGCTCTCTTCCACCAGGCTCACACCGCCACG